TATGACAAAAAAATTAATATATATTTTTTTTATATTCTCGATGTGCTTCAGTTAGCAGGATTTCATCAGACTACCCAAAAGCAATATAACGTTTAACATATTATTGATCATATCATATCTCAAGAGAGAAAGATCGATCGATCTATATAATTTCGAGTAGACGAGCATGTAGGGCCGATCAAAGCGGCGGCGTGGTGTTTCGCAGCACGCGGGTAGACTTGACGAACTTGAACTTGAGAAAAAATATGCGGGCATCGCCTTGAAGTTCTCTTCGTTGGTTGATGAGATCCGGTTGACTAAGCGGGAAAGAGGGGGACTGGAAACCAAAACAGGACTGACCGTATTGAGAAAATTATACTAGCAGAGGCCACGCGACGTCGACGATCTCAACAAGTGAACGAGTCTCTCTCTCTCTCTCTCTCTCTTTGTTTTTATTTCCTTGATTACGTCGTGATATAAACCGCTTGAAACACTCCTGTGTTAAGTGAATTAAATTCATATAAAATATACATATATTTCGATTCTTTTTCGCTTTATTTCAAATCAAAAGGATTATAAAAATGGAGGGGAATTTTTCTACAGATAAGATATGTGTGTGTGTGTGTGTGTGTGTGTGTGTGTGTGTGTGTGTGTGTGCGCGCGCGCGCGCGCGCGCGCGCGTGCCCGCAAGTATTTACTAGGAAATATCAAATAATCTTTTCCATAAATTTTCAACATGCTTGTACATACAAATATATTATTATATGTATTAGGTATGAGAAAAAGTTTTTCCCGTTAGATGGCATTAAAAAAACGCCACGAACTTTTTCCCACACCTAATATACTATTGTACATATCTAATAATAATATTTTATTATATGCACATGATAGCTAAAACTAATAATACTGTTAAAATATTACAATGACTAAATAAAATAAATAAATTAATAAAATTTCTTACAGAAGAAAACTTTTTGTTTGATTATAGAGAGAGAAGAGGGAATAATCTTTCTAGAAGGATGTAAATTTTAAAAATAAAAATAGATATAGATTATGTTATGATATAGATTATGATTATGATATGATATAGTATAGATTATGAGTAAAAATCGAATACGACGAAAATTCAGATGGAAAAATTGGATTTATTGAAAATATTACAAATATTTGACATATCATGAGATAACATTTGAATTAGAGTCAATCATCGATCGTTTTACCATAGGAATTTGCGATAGAGATTCAAGAAGCATCGAGCGGATCGAGCCCTGTTCGCGATGGATTAAAGCAGGAGTGGTGCGGAATAGGCGTATCCTGCGTATGCAGCAGGTGCAAATGGTGCAACGGCATGAGTGCTGTAAGCTGCTAGAGGTGACGCGGCATAGGCGACCGGAGCAAGAGGAGCTGCGGCGAGCGTGTTGTAATTTCTAGCGACCACTTGGCTGCTACTTGCTGTCACGATGGGCGCTGGAACTGCCGCAATTGCCGCAGGTGCCGCCAGAACCGCTCCTGGCGCAGGTGCAGGTGCAGCGTATACGATAGTTAGGAGAACGGAGAGAATGCACTGGAAGAACCAATTCAATCACGCATATATTCATTAACGTACATACAATGTATATCATCACGTGATGTAGTGATAGAAGAAAGATAAGATCGAAATGGAGAAAAATGCATTAATGTGTTTTACGTGTTTGTATTCAATTGTATTGTGAGAATTGTTATACACACGCACATATTCTTTTATTACATTTTATAAAAAAATATTTTTAAGATGTTCGAATAAAAACAGTATTTGAAAAAGAATTAGAACACAACAGCGCTTTCAACTCTAAGTTTTACATATACATTTTATATATAT